AAAAAATTTCATTGATAAAAATAAATGCTAAACATTAATGAGCACTTAGAGCTGAACCAATTGGTATTCGTTGTTCACTCTTTTTAATACCTTCTATGATTATTGATATAGGTGTTGTGCCCATGATCCGCATTTGAAACATAAGAAATGCAAGAAATCGAACAGTGAAGTTCTTTGGTTGTTTCTCCTGGTCAATGGCACTGGTATAAAAATTTTAGCTTTGGATTTGCTTGATAACATAACCCATAAAAGTTAGGCCTTTCTGATAAAAAAAAAATTATCTTGCTTCTCTTTCTCCTTATCTAGATTTTCGCAAAGCCATTTTTGTCGTAAGAAGTTACAAGATATAGAGGTTGCACGACGATTTGAAAACGATTATGCTTGTTCTAGCTGATAAACTTTCCTAAAAACTCTCATGGGTGCGGATAATGCAAATCGTGTAACAAGACATCCAACGGACAATACCTACGAGGCATTCTAAAAGTAATTTTCATTAGTGTTAAAACATTTTAGTGGAACAATTTCAAAACAAAGGTGCGAAATTATGTTGTTCATTTTTCGAAGAGTGTTTGTTTTGAAACGAAAAACGTATCAAAAGAGCTCCACGCTGCGAACATTTTTGCAATAAAGCCAATTTATATAAACTAGAAGGTGCGGAATCTAGTGGAAAGGTGGAATTGTATACAGTAATTCTTTGGTTGCATCTAGTCCTTTGAAAATTTTGGATGTGGAAATAAGCTGCCGCATTAGATTTTATCTTTATTCTAAGGTATGGAATTCTAAAGAAAAATAGTATCGGCGTTGAATTCAAAAAAATTGTTTGCTTGCTGCTTCAAGCAACTAATTATGGTATGTTTCTTGTGGACCAAATAAGGTAAATGGAATCCCTCTTGAGTTAAGAAAAGTCACTTGAAGTGCTCACTGCTGAGCGTTTGTTGACGCGCTATACAGCATTTTTTGCCGTTACAACCTTGCTGCCTCGGCGCATTTGCCGAGTCATGGTTGTCTGACTATGACAACAAGTTTAAATATTTTCTTCTTTACAAAAGAGGAAGTGTGCTGTTTTGGTTAATAGTCAATTTTCAGGAATGTCCGTTGAAGATGAAGGGATAGAAGCAGATTTTCAACACATTGAACCGGAGAAGAAAAAGAAAAAAGCTGGATTGGAGTCAAAACCTGTACACATCCCAGTAAAGAAGGCTCTCATTACGGAAAATGGATCAGTAAAAAAGAAAAAGAAGCTGAAGGGTCTATCCAATGTGAGTACATAAGAAACTTTTGTTTCACTTTTTTTGACTTGTACTTGATATGAACTATCCATTTT